GGAGCCTTTCCTTCCCCACCGGCCCCATGCCCACACCCGCCCTCTGAAACCCGCACGGGCCGACCCCCGGCAGCAGCCCGCCGGGCCACGCCACGAGTGCCACGCCTGCTCTAGCTCCCCACGGACTCAGCTCGCCCTGGCAGCACCCCGCCGGGCCACGCCACGAGTGCCACGCCTGCTCTAGCTCCCCACGGACTCAGCTCGCCCTGGCAGCACCCCGCCGGGCCACGCCACGTGCACCACACCTGCTCTAGCTCCCCACGGACTCAGCTTGCCCTGGCAGCACCCCGCCAGGCCACGCCACGTGCGCCACACCTGCTCTAGCTCCCCACGGACTCAGCTCGCCCTGGCAGCACCCCGCCGGGCCACGCCACGTGCGCCACGAGTGCCACGCCTGCTCTAGCTCCCCATGGACTCAGCTCGCCCCGGCAGCACCCCGCCGGGCCACGCCACGAGTGCCACGCCTGCTCTAGCTCCCCACGGACTCAGCTCGCCCTGGCAGCAGCCCCGACAGGAAAACCAGGATGTGAGGCGGGGCCGGCAGTCCAGCCGCCCCTGCACTAGAGGCCACAGCCACGACAGCCTCCACGAAAGCACCACGGTACCGTGGCCACGGGGGAGGGCCCGAGCTCAGAAGAGCCGGGTGGGCCTGGCCTCCGCAGCCTCAGACAGGGACGGAAGGTCGTTAGTCCATGGAAGAGTCCGGGGCAGGGTGGGGCCTCGGGGAGAGCCGAGGGGCCTCTTACCTTCGGTGCCTGGAGTACTTGCCCCGGACGTGTCCTGAGCCTGTGCATCCCGGGGTGGGGCAGCTGGGGACAAGCGGAAGAGGTCATCTGGACAACAGGTTGGATTTCAGGCCCCCCCAGACCCTCGCCCTGGGGAGCAGAAGATCATCTCCAAGCAGTTCACCTCAGAATGGCGGTTGCGGTCAGATAAACGTTAATGAAATGATTCACCCCATTTAAATAAATGAACGGCTCATTGGAGTTTTACGAGTGTGTTTAATGAAAGATCTGTGTGTATAAGACTTCTTACACAGATGCCAGGGTGGCCAGGTGGCTCCCCACGCAGGTGTTCTACGGGCTGCTGGGGTTTACTGACTTCCAGGGTTCCAGGGGTTTATCCACAAGACGCTCTGAGGTGCCCTGAACAAAGGCCCTCTCGAAAAGGGCTCAGAGCTTGAGTCGGGCCCGAGCCCGAAGCACGAGATAGGAATTCCCCGGGCCTGTCACTGAAGCTGCAAAGCCCGTGGCCGCCGAGGGCAACAGTCTCTGCATTCTCTGCTGGGTGCCTTCACCCCAGCAACCCCAGCCGAGGCGGGCACGCAGGAGTAATGAAGACTCCAGCCCAGCACCTGCAGCTGCCAGGGAGGAAAGCGAATCCCACAGGGCCAAGGAGCTGGGGGCTGCACGCCTGTCTTGCTGGAGGATCCTGGGCGGTGCTCACAGCTCCCACCCAGGCCTGGTGAGCACAAGGCAAGGCCCCAGGAGTTCCTGGTCCTCAACCATCATCTGTCTCCCAACATAGCCAAACCAGCGGGAACTCTGGAAACTTCTGCTCGTGAGCACTGAATGCATGCCCAATCGTGGCAGCAGGGCCACAGTTCCCACAGGAGACTGGGAAAGAGTGGTCACGGGGGCCTGTTTGGGGTGTGGGGCCACGGGCCACCACCGCTCAGGCTCCAGTGGGCTGTTGGATGCGTCCCCAGGTCAAGGTCTCTGCGGGGAGCTGTCACTACCCTGTGCTTCTGCGGAGCAGCAAGACGGAGAAACCACTCGGGGTCCCTTGGGGAGGGAGGGCAAGGCCTGCGGTCCTCACAGAGGACAGAGGCGGCCCCTGGCCAGGACGGGAAGGCCTGGTTTTTGACAGGATTGCCATGGACCTGAGCTCCTGCCCGGGATCGGGGTTTCCTAAAACACGGGCACGTCTTCCAGAGCCTGTGAAGGAAGGCCAGCCCCAGACTCACGGAAACAGCCCCACCTCCAGCCTCTGAGCAGACCTCTGACGGCGTCTTATTTGACTGACCACAGGCCTGACCGTGGGCCCCGCTGGCCATGCAGGCCACACTCGCAGATGGCAGGGAGAACAGTCTGTGGAGCCCGCGGCCACCCTAACCCCGAGCTTGAGGCAGCCACGGCACGGGTGGGGGCTCCAGTGAGGATGTTCCCTGCAGCCTTCCCCGGTGGGGCCACCAAGGCTGATCTCAGTGCTGATCTCAATGTGTTACAAAAGAAGAAAGGGAGGGGGAGAGGGAGGAGGAGAGGGAGGAAGGAGAGGGAGGAGGAGAGGGAGGAGGGAGAGGGAGGGCATGCCACTTCTTACTGCAGATTTCCTTTCCAACAGAGGGGAGTTGCCACTGCCCACCCCCGGCCCCCGCCAGTCTATTCTAAATTCCAGGCCCACACTTGCTTTCACTCTCTCAAGAACTAGCTTTGAGACTTTTCACAAAAAGCTCCTTGTTATTGGGGATTTGAAGCTGAGGTCCCAATTAGTCGATTAATCACTGAGTTAATCAGGCAATTAGGTGACAGCTGCCATGGAGGCCTGCGGGGACTGGCACTACCCTCGAACACGTCACCTGCTCCAAGCCACTCCTCTATCCCAGTTCAGGAGCCCTGGTCCCGTGCCAGGTGGGCCGGCACCTCCCAGCCCCAGCCGCAGAGGGTGCGAGACGGGGCCGTGAGCCAAGTGCACGGAGCTGGCGAGGCCACCCTGGGGCAGGGAGCTGGAGACTCTGGCCGCCTGTGCCCTACGCAGCAGCCAAGGGGCGTCAGGCAGTGGACAGGAGACCCAGCCGGGGTCTCCAGAGACTGTTATGCCAGCAGACGCCAGCCTCGGGCCTCACGGCTCACACAGGTGCACCTGCGAGCATACGCGGTGCAGTATCTGCTGATGTCCTCCATGTGCCCAGGCCCGGCTGCAGGGGAGGAAGCTGGCAAGAGCTCCACGATTAAAGAGCCTTTCCCCACTGTGGGAGGAGGGAGAGACCCACGTCGATTCCTCACCCTGCCTCTCGACAGCAAGACCCTGAACTCCCCAGCCTGTGCTCCCCCCGTGTGACTAGGCTGGCATCAGAGATGCAGGTGAGGCTTGGCAGAGGGCATGGCTCACAGCCACCCCTCAGCAGACATCCTGCATGGCAGCTGGGAGGGACCCAAGCTGAACAACAAGGTGAACAACACGCATCAAGGAACCCCAGCTCGGGGCCTGTGCTCTGGCTACCACTCCCCTAAGGGACCTGCTTCCCTCCCACCCCAGGGCAGAGGGAAGGCCCCACTCCCTTCTGCTTTCTGGCTAGAAGCTGGCTGTGGGCACAAGAAGCAAGACCCCAGCAGAGGAAGGGCCAGGTACAAGGAATCAGGATGTAGGTGTGGTCTCTCTGAACTTGGAGACACCCTGAACGCCCAACAGCACGCAGTCAGTGCCACACCAGCTCAGAGACACCAGCCCAGCCCTAATCCTCCCTAACCTTCGCCTCTAGCAGAGCCACTCCAGGGCCAGCAGGTGGACCCTGCTAGGATACACGTTGCAGCATCTCAGTCCTTCCACCGGCACGAAGGGAAAAACCATTACACCCGTCTCTTCTCTGGGGCCCTCAGGGTGTTAAATTCAGGGCACAGGGAAACACAGTGGCTCCAGAGGTCAGAGACAGCAGCTCAGGGCAGTTGCCCAGAGCACAGGTGTCTTCCCGGGAGCTCCACTTGGGGTGGTTGAGGGACAATGAGCTGGAGTGGGGGACACCATGGGCTGTGAAATTCTGAGTCATCGGGGTGCAAGTACCTCCCTCACCTGTGGCCTCCCCCACCCCAGCCCCAGGGTGTCCCCAGGCAGGTGCCAGCTGATACCCCCCTCTTTTCCTGGGCCCTCTGAGCATCATCATCTCTGCTTGTTCCACAGGTTAACCCTCAGGTGGTGTCTCCCCTCCAGGGAGCCGGTCTTGTGGGTTCAGGGAGCACCCACAGGCGCTGACAGCCAGAAGTGCCGGCGTGTGGCCGGGGTTGGCTGCGGTCCACCCTATCCCTCCCACGCTGTGGCCCGGGGCTGGGCTTCCAGGAGTAGAGCATGTGATTTGGCTCTTCTGGTTGGATAAACGTGAGCCCCACTTCAACAATGGAATCACACTGTCAGGTGGTGCTTCCACGAGATCCCCAGAGACCAAGACTGAAATGAGCGGCCACTGACGCACTTGGGGCTTGGGGCACCCAGGCCCAACCCACAGCCCCTCGCCCTCCGTCTCTAAGTTGCAGCCTCGAGGACTGGGACACTGTCGTCCTGTCCACCTCCGTGCAAGGTTTGCGAGGAGAACTTTGCAGCCCTCTCATTTTCCTGATTGGCAGCAGCCACCGATCCACTCTGCAACTGGGCAGTGAAGAATAAGACAGTTCCTGCCCTGGTCTGTTCATAGATTAATGAGAATCTTTTCCCCTGAGAAGTGGGAAGGAAACAGTCACAGCCCAGTCAGCGAGGTCATCAGCTCACAAAACCAGTGTTTGCATCTCGAGCCGTGGAATGCTCAGGACGTGGAGGACCCTGTTCTCTCCTCTCTGGCCGTGTTGGGCCTCCAGCCATCAGGCACAGAAGCCCTTGTGAGACTCCACCAAGAAAGTGCCTTGTCCCTGGTTTGGGGGACTCTGGTGACAGTCCAGGTCCTGGTGGTAACCAGGTATGACCATGCTTATGTCCCGCTCTGAGGCTGGCCATCTCGTGAAGGGGCCAGGACAGGGGCAAGAAAGGCAGAGAGAGCCAAGATAGCTGGCCACGTGGCCAGGAGGAAGGCAGTCTCCTTGGGGAAAGCAGGGGCTTGCAGAGGGGTGTTTGGTCAAGCCAAGAAGACCCCATTTGGGACACCTAGGACTTCTACAGGGCCACAGGCACAAGGGCAACGCTTGGGCTAACAGGAAGACCTCCTTACCTGAGGTCTGCAGCTGTGGTCTCTGGGGGTCCTGGGTAAGAGAGAGAAACAGGGAAAACACATGTGGGAGTTTGCATTTCAAAGGCGTGTTGCCCTATAAGCTAAGTCAGACAGCTGAGAGGTCTGCCAAGGACAAGTGCAAGGGGGCCCGAGCTGTTTCTTCAGGGCCCCGCCCTTGCCTGACCCCTAGAGTGTCCGAGGTCAAGGGCATGAGCTGCTTCATGCAGCCAGGACTCACTCTAGGCCCTCCCCAGCGGGGCCTCCCAGTCTCGCAGCGTGGAACAGGTGTTCCGCCTACGACAGGTTCTCTGGGCCCTCAGGGCCAGGCTGGCATCTTTGTCTAACTGCAGACAGAAATCAGCTTTTGCCAGGAAACACAACCCACCAGACCAAGCTGGGCAGAGAAAAGGACCTATGGCCAAGTGGCTGGCCAGTGCTGGGGCCCTGCCTGAGAAGATGGCAGGTGCCCGGGGCCCCTGGCCACTCCGCGGGCACAAGAGGAAGCCCCCCAGGTGCCAAAGAAGTGAGGCCGGCCACAGGGTTGGGCTCTCGTCCCAGCAGAGTGAGCAGAGCCTTGGCTCCTCTCCTCCGCACCCCACGGCCAGTCAACCCACAGCCCCCCGACGTCGTCAGCACCAAGACTGACCTGCTAGGAGAGGAGGGGCGGGGGACAGAAGGCCGCAGCCTCTTGCTTCCAAACGGAAGGGTCTCATAACTGAGCTTGGCTGCTCCCGCTCTGTGGCGTGCGTCTGTCTCCGCATCTCTGCCCCAGGCGGGTGTGTCTGGCCCAAAGCCCCTCGGCAATTCTCTCAGAGGCTGCCCTCAAAGCCCAGCAGCCCTGAGGGTAGGAGAGGCTGAAGAGGCCTGAGGCCCCGGCGCCCAGGGCAGCCCTGAGCACTCGCCGTGGGGCTTGAGACAGCGGCACTCACCGTGTCAGAGAAAGCAGCAGCCAAGGGCCGGGGACAAGCGCCCAGACACGGCCAGGAGGGGCAGCGTACTCACCTCGGAGGGCCTTGGATCGGGTGCGAGCTCGCTTGTCATCATTTTCTAAGCTCATCTGCAAGCGAAAAACAACTGTGATGTCAATAAGGAAACCCAGCCTACACCTTCCAAGTTCAGAACTGTCAGGGACGTCTGGCCATTTTCTGGCTCAAGCTTTGACAGTGAAGTTACTTCTGTGGCCTAGAACATCCAGAGTGGGCTTACAGGGCAGGAGAGGGCTGGGCCCAGAGCCGCAGGTGGGAGGACGTGGGGAGGTGCTGCTGGACAGAGACTACCAGGCTCAGAGCGTCCTGCTGGCATCTCCCCAGCCCTCAGCAAAGGGGCCGCGGTACACCTGGCCCCCCCACTGTGCCCAGGTGTGCACCTGCCAGCAAAAGCCTCAGTGTGGGGCCTACCCCACTGAATCCTCACGAATGCTGGTATTTTGTGACATGAGGGTCTCCTGTCCTGGCGAGGAGTGACGCTCACTGCTCTCCTCGTGTGGCCCAGATGCAGAGGCACCAGGGCGCTCACCTGCCATAGACACAGTCACCACCAGTGGAGCCAGGTGAGCCGACTGCTCCTAGGCCCAGAGCACGGCTGCCCACTCAGCAGAAGCACACAAGGGTCGTCCTGTTGGGAACAGGCAGCCTGAGGCAGCCCCGGCCCCCGTGTCCTCCAGCCGTGGGGGTCTGGATGCCTCGCTTGAGCCCCCCACTCCCCGACTCTGACCAGTCCCCACAGGGACGCTGCCCACAGCATTGTCCTGCAAGGGAGTCAAGGGCGCTTCCCCAGGAGGGTGACAATCACAGAATAGACATGTCTGGGGATGACGGTCACAGACGGGTCCCTGGGAGCTAAGGGTCATCACATAGAATCCTTGTCCTATGTCGCCCATGACAAATCTGGGCGGGCAGGTAAAATCCCACATCCTCTGCACTCCACACTATGCAAAGCAATCCTCTCCCAGGGAGCGAGGCCAGGCAGGGAGTGCTCCATGCCCGCCAGGGGCAGGCGGAGAGCTGCCCAGCTTCACCACCTGTCAGCCGTGGCCAGGAAGGTGAGGCAGCAAATCCACACCTGTCCCAGGCCACAGACACCAGGGTGGCCCGGGCTCCGTGTCTGAGGCTGTCAAAGGGACTCGGGGGAAGTAGCAGAAGAAAGAAGGGGAGGCAGTAGGAGGGGCTCAGAAGCCCTGTCTTAAGTGGGGCTTTAGTCCCTAAGAGCCAGCAAGAGACAAATGTCTGTGGTACCACCTGGGAAGAAAGAAAAAGGAATTCCCCCAATTAGTAAGATGAAATTTGCAAAGTGAACCTCCCCTGTGTGGCAGCACTAACACACAATGATGTATGTGATTTGTTAAGGAAGAAAAATCAAAACCTGGGTAATTTATGCAACCTGTCGGCTCGGGGTTGTGGAACACAGCGCTGTGAGCTGTGCGTTTATTACAGCCTTCCAAAGGAACAGAAGACAATTACTATGATTTCTATTTTTAAGGCAGAGGTTCCCCATGGACCAACGGCTCACATTTAAAGTGAAGAGAGGAGCAGGTGTCACAGGGACTTCATTACTTTATGAGCCTTCAAACGTCGTCTGCTCTGAGCCCATGCGCAGCGCCTTCCGACGCAGGCTGCACAATGGGGCTGATGCGTCTGATTGCCGGGTGCCTGCATTCAGCTGAAATGCAATCTACGGCGTTTTTTTGTGTGTGTCAGTTTTCCCAAGGAAATTGGCAAGCATTCTGCTAGGTTAAAGCGTGCCTTGGCAATTTGGATTTCCTGCAGATAAATTATTCAGAGAGCAGAGAATAGAGAGGGTTGCAGGGATGCGTAATGGGCGCCGCTCGCAGACTGTGAGTGCCCATTGATGGAGCCCACAGCTGTGGCATTCACTCTGCTGAGCACCTTTCCATTTGCAATTTATCTGCATCAAACGGTCAATAAGTGAGAAGTTCTCTTCGGTGCATGTAGCTTTGATTTTAGAAGGGGAAAACACTGAATCTACAGGAGGAAAACCAGGCCCTTTAAATGAGAATGAGTTTGCAAGAGCTGGGTGACTTGGGACATCAACGACAGAGCAGGGAAACCGGCATATGAGCTGTTTGGAAAGAGCAGTGCTGGCTCACATGAAAGCACTCAGGCAAAGCTGGTAAAACCAGCACTGCGCAATCTGCATCATCTTCCTCTTGCGAGGAACTCAAAGCACCTCAGAGGTGGGTTCTCTGCTGTCCTCCTGCCTCACCATCAGTGTCTCTATGTGGCAGGTGGAGAGCCAGTGCCCAGAGCAGCCCTGTGCCCAACACCCCCAGGCCTCCTGGCTGCGCCCCACGACAGCCGTGCCTGAAAGGGCAGCTCAGTGGTGCAAAGACAATGAGACACTTCACAATTTCTCGTTGGTTGTTTACTTGTTCCATGCACAAAGAACCGTTTACTTGTTCCATGCACAAACCAACCAGGTCCCTGTTTTCGTACGGCCCACAAATAATTCAAAGTCCACTTCCTTGTGAGTGAAAAGACCCTCTTGTTGAGACAGACCAACCTCACACCCACTCTCGTTGCCAGGCCAGCAATCTCTCTTGAGAGCAACGCCTGCTCTCTGTCGACTCCAACTTCATTCTGCCACCAGGAGCATGTCTTACAGCCCTGATTAATATTTCAATACTTCTGTCTTCAATATGAAAACTATGGGGAGGAGAGTAATTTACAAATGCAAGTGCACCATGTTTTGCCACATTTATTAACCAGAGAGAATTGTCTCTTCATCCATTCATTTAACTTGCTTTCTCAATACCATATAAAAGTAGTCTCCTATAGAGGATTTTTTGCTTTGTTCTGTTTTGTATTTCTTTTTAATAAAGTCAAGATTAATCATGTAAGTTTTTTTCAAAATATACACAGTTTGCACCAGGACAGGCTACAAAGACCAGCCCCTTTTCCAGACCTGGCATGTTACCCTTGCCAAAACTGAGTTATCTGAATTGGGCGTTTGCAAACTCAGGGACCAAAAGGACAAACACAATAAGCAGCCCTGAAACCTGCAGACTTCTCTGGACTCGTAGACTGAAGTTGTGAGAAATGCACTAAGAATCCGGAAGTATAGCTAATAACAAACCACTCATGTATTTAGTCTTTAGGGAAACGGTGGACTCAACTTCCAAAAATGTCAGGGTTAGAGACTTTCCATGAAGCCCAGCAGGGTTTGTGCCAACTTTCACCTTTGCCCCCAGAGGCCGTGTCTGCCCACCCCTTGCCCCAGCCCAAGCTCAGGGATGTCCACAGAGGGGTGCCCCCCTTCCTCCTTTCTCTCTCACTCTCTGTCTCTATCTCTGTCTCTGTCTCTCTCTGTCTCTGTCTCTGTCTCTCTCTCCCTCTTTCATTCTTCTTTTGTGCTTTCTCCCAGGGCTTTCAGAGGTGAAGAGCTTCCCTTCTCCAGCCGGTACCATATCCCTGCCCCTCTGATGGCCCAGAGCCAGCCGCAGGGCAGAATCCAGACTGAAGCCTGGCCCCAGTAGGAGGTGTCATGGCCCTAGGGCACCAGCCCTGGTATCCCCAAGGTGTGTATGTCACTGCAGAGAGGCAAGGGGTGCTCGGGGAGAGGGAGCTCCTGAGGCTTGAGAGCCAGGTGGGGCAGGGAGGGTGAGTGGGCAGCACAGACCTGCAGGTGTGTGGGAGGAGGCACTGCACACTGGAGCTGGGAGCACCCTGGGGCGGTGGGCACCCCTCCTTCCCCCACCTCTCTCACTCTCCAGCTCATTTCCCTTATGATTCTCATCTCAATATGAAATGAGCTCATTTATTCACGGTTGTAAGGCCACTGACTCTCCTACAGAGAGGATGAGTGGATGAACAGGTGGATGAATGAATGAATGAATGAATGAATGAATGAATGAATGAATGAATAATGGGGATGGTTGCAAATGTCTGTGAAACTCCAGACCTAGGGTGGGTGCAGAGGTGTGGTCAGAGGGGCTGGCAAAACACCCTCGCAATCAACCTTCTCCTGGACTCCATAACTGTGCAGTCATCCACCAAATGTTATGCAATTTGGGGCCCAAATCTTTCCTTCTCGAGGTCAGGAAGGGGCTTAAGGAGCTACCATCAATGCCTGCACTTCCTCTAACATACCACCACCTACCTTTTTTCAGGCAGCCCCTTGTGGAAAGGGCTCTGAGCTGTCCACACGCCTAGTGCTGAACTCAGGCACACGCAGGCTGTCCGTGCCTCCTGCCCAGGATCTGCCTGCCCGGCTGCCCTCCTGTGCTGGCATCCTGGCCCACCCACCTCCTGTCTTTGGTCAGCCCCTGAGAGGCTGACTGTGATCTACTGTGGCTATGTGACGTTCCTGCACTGTGGCCACCACTCACCTCTGAGCTGCCACCTCCTCAGCCTCCTCGCTCAGAAGACATCACCTGCCAGCCCCAAAGTCCTCTGGGCAACCAGCCCTTCCATGTCCTCCCTCCTTCTCTAGCCCACTCTTCGTCTTAACTTCTCTACTCAGAGCAGTGACTCCAGCCCTACCTGCCCAAAATAGAGGGAATGCCTCTGGAGTGGAGCAGTGACGAGTCAGCTGGTGGTGCCAGGAGAGCCTGAGCAGGCGCCACAGGTCTGCTCCTGGCAGCTGCGTTTTGAACAGTCACACGTTGTCCGTGGCGGACCCCACACCCTCTGAGCTTGTCACACCTTGGCCACGAGGAAGACAGAGATTTTCCTACGCAACCCCAACGTGGCGCTGGACAATTGCAGACGCACTCACTCAGAGGCCCTGGCCCCAAAGCAGCAGTTCTCCTGGTCATGTGATCTCATGCCCATGCAGCTCTGTGCGAGTCCTCAGGGCTGACATAGGATTAGGCCGAAACTCAATGATCAAAATAAACAACATTTTAATTCAGTATTTTAAAACATCAACACTAATGCAAAAAGTCCATGATAAATAAAACACCAAAACTTTAAGAGACAGGGCCTTAGGCTCCAACTCCGGCCAACAGAACTCTGACCACCACAGTGTACATTCTCCACGCCAGATTCAAAAGAAAAATGTTAGGTTTTGAGAGTAAAATACAAGCTCCCACCTCAACTGGGTAGCCCTCCCTGCCTCCAGCCTGGGCCACCGCTGGCTTGGTGGCCATGCCCTGGTCACAGTTGGATCCTTGCTGGAGAACCGCTACAGGAAGTGGGAGGGAGCGGGGGTCGGAGTCTGGCCTGGGAAGGGCTGCTCCAAGCCCGTTGTGAGCCTGCACTCTGTCTCCGAGGCATACCTGGCCCGGAACCTGGCCCGGAACCTGGCCTCGCCCACAGCATATTGGTGGGAAGTTCTGTGGTACGTGATGGAGAACGGAGACTGTGAGTACATGTGGTGTCCCAGGGTGAGGGAGTGTCCCCCGGGAGGGCCTGCCCCCTCCACCGTGAGCTCTAGGCAGGTACAAGAAGAGCACGCACCATCTGCCTCCACTTGGGAAGACCAGAATGGAACAAGGCCAAGGCCAACAGACCTCATGAGCTCCTGCCAGCAAAGTCTGCTGTCAGACCCTGGAGGGACTCGCAGCCTGCCCAGGTAAAAGCACGGTAAAGAAAGAACAGGTTGCTGAGGCACAGTAAGGAGCCAGGTAGGATCACACCTCAAAGCAGAGAACTGACTGGAAAGTGAGACTCTGCAGTCACACTTTAGTTTGACTCTACTCAGTCATTTTTCTTCCTTTAATTTAATTTATTTATTTATTTATTTATGTTTTAGATGGGGTCTCACTCTGTTGCCTGGGCTGGAGTGCAGTAGTATCATCATAGCTCACTGCAGCCTGGAATTCCTAGGCTGAAGCATCCTCCTGCCTCAGCCTCCTGAGTAGCTGGGACTACAGGCATGCGCCACCATGCCCAGCTAATTTTTCTATTGTTTGTATAGATGGGGTCTCACTATGTTGCTCAGGCTGGTCTCGAACTCCTGGCCTCTAGTGATCCTCCCCCCTCGGCCTCCCAAGGTGCTGGGGATTATAGATGTGAGCCACTGTGCCCCACCTCTTCCTTTAATTTTAGAGTGACAAGATCATCAATGGCCCTGGTCCCCATTTATTCTTCGCCTAATCTGGATTTTGAAGATGATTAGACCAAAAGTCGCCTCCGTGCATCGCACCTGAGGACCAAGAAGAGGCTTCGCACACGCTGCCCTCTGGGCGCCTCACCTTGCCGTGTCTGCCCGGGAGGCGTCTCGAGGTCCTGCAGCTGCTGGCCTGGCCTCTGTGTGTCCACCTTTGGTTTAGCAGTTCACCCCGGAACTCATTTTCTGAGGATTTAGAAAGATACAGGGTCAGAAAAGGGAAGCCTGGGGAGAGCCAGCATGCTGGCTCCAGGGGAGAAATAAGAAACTGGGGCCACTTTCTCGGGGCCCTGATACAATCTCCCCTCTCTGGAACCCGCCAGAAAAAGGGACACAGTCATGGCCCCATGGTCTTCCAGGGAAAGAGGAAGCCCCTCTCTGACTGGGGAACCTCCTCTGCACTATGGCCCTGCTCTGCCGCCGTCTCCGGCCTCAGTGGGGCTGGTCCCCCCAACACAGCCCTTCCACCAAGGTCCAGGTGAGCCCCACTTTGAGAAAACTTGGCATCCAAATTCCAACTTTGAAAATGAGCTATCTAATGAGTAACTATTCACATCACAACTAGATCCTTCACTGACCCCAAAAGAATGAACAGCACAGATCCATTTGCAAAAAAGAAAAAAAAAAAAAAAGATTGCTTTGCACAACTTCTCTGGAGCCCTTTGACTGAGGACAGTGAGGTCCACTCGCGGTTCCCATCCGCTTTGCCTCCCACAGGAGCCCTGGGCCCCACGGGCACTCTTTGCCTCCTTCCAGCATCTTTTCTCGCCCTGTGTTGCTGCCTCTCTCCAGGGCAATGCCTCCAGTTAATATTTAATTCCCTACATAGATTCGCAAGTCTAAGCCAAGGCTGAATGCATCAGCTGGACATGACAAAGAAATGCATTGTGTACCTATTCCCTGCACGTCACTCTCTGTTTCCATGACAACCTGCTTTCTACAACTGCAGCGGCATTTCAAAGGAAGGTCATTAAGTAACCAACAATAAAAACAGGAAATGAATATTTCTGCATTCTGCTCTCGGTTTCTCCTTGGAAGTGAGTTTGGATTCTGCTGAAAGCGGGCCAGAAATACTGTTGTATCCATTGGGTTTTTTTCTCCCCATATTTTTGATGTGCTTCCCCAAATGCTATTTTTCTCAAGATTTCCACCACTCCTGGCCCCAGGCAGCCCTGTGGCTCTGGCCTCAACATCCCTCTTGTTATCTAGAAATGCCTCCATCCCTTTAAAGGGCCTTGGATTACCTTCCAGAGCACAGACACTGAGGACAGGAGATTTGGTAGTCAAGGAGACAGCATAATGCAAGGTCTTCAAAGGAATGGGTAGCCACTAGGATTTGGCACCTACTGTGTGCACCTACTATGTGCCTCCCCCTCATTGAGCTGAGACTCACCAGCCACAGCGATTGCTGTGATGACAGGGCTTTGACTGCAAGCCCTGGTGCCTTGACCAGTGAGGAGTGGGCAGTGGGATTTTCCCCACCACCCAAGATCTCTGGGCACCCTAGGTCCCATCTGCTACTGGCTGTCAGCACTGAGCCACAGTGAGGTCCTCTAAGCGGGGCCAAGCCTGTGCACCAGGTAACCAAACCCTCAAACCCAGGGCACAGATGTGGGGGTAGCACTTAAGAGACCCTAGGGCACTGAACTCACAAGGCAGATGCAGCCAATAGCTTGAGGGGTTTAAGGAAAGGAGGACCCAGCACAGGGAGGAGGAAAGGGAGGAAAAACATGTTGGAAAATCAGGAAGTGGACAAATAAGAGTTGTGCTAGGTATGGAGTGTGCTTCACACTTTTAAGCTAGAGGAGGAGGCCCCTCCCTGCATCTCCTCTGTGGTGACAACAGAAGCTGAGAGACAGCCGGGCACCCAAGTGCACAGGGCTCACTTTCTGAGCATCCATCCCAGGAGAGAAGATGCTACAGGAACCTACACACTGGAGTCTGCAACACTCAACAGAGTTTCTTGTTACAGTTACGCATGCAAATATGCAAAGTGACTGGGTCACGTCTTGGGGATAGCTGGAGGAAGGGACTCGAGGTCCATCGCCACGCAGTGCAGGGTGCTCCAGAGAAGCTGCCTGCTCTGGGCGCAGCTCCCTGTGTCCTTCTGCTCTAGGTCTCTGCTCCTCAGAGAAGGCAGGTGGGTGTGAACTACAAAAGTCTCTCTGCAAAGGGGCCTCCAGTCTTCTGTTTGATGGGATAAACACGAGGACTTCTCCACACCCACCCACCCCCGAGAGTCTGGAAACGAAGCCCTGTGGAATTCCCCACTGCTCACCCCCTCGCACCCCTGTCCTCATGTCAGCCCTCGGCTCAGCCGCCCTCAGCCCCACATCTGCTCAGGCAAAGCACCGGGATCATCTGCCCCCCAAAGAGCCACTCCTGCTCCCGCAGGCATCAAAGCCACCGAGTGTCTCGGGGCGAGAGAGCAGAACGGCACCTGGTGAAGGACTCAGTCCCACTCTCCTGGGATTAATCAAACAAATACCTGCAAGCTCAGAACCACATTCGCAAGGACTCAGCTTACCCAGGACATGATTCTGTTTCCCTTTTCCAGGGAATTTCTTGGCAGCAAACCACAGTCACTGCCAGTAGCCCAGCAGGGTGTGCCCGTTCTTCTCCTGTGGGCCTCTGGGTCCCCCACAGGGACCTGCATGTGGCCAGGCCCCACCCCCTAGACTTAGCATGCTCTGCCCCAGATGAGACTGTCCCAGATACAGCACGAGCCGCGCCCTTGGCAGCACATTAAGTCCCCACGCACCAAGAAACGTGAGGGTCCACAGGCTGAAGAACTCTGCATAGAAACGTAGGGGGTTCCACAGAGGCACCCCTTCCAAAAGACATGCTGCTCTGTGGACACCCCGCGGTGTGGCCAAGGGGCCCTGAGGCTCACACAGAGCACGGCCATCTAGACCCGATTGGCAAGTCACCTACCCTCGCTGAGATTTAAGTTCTGCATCCGAGGGACGTGGATGGAAAGAGCCTTCAGTGAATGCCTGAAGATGCCACTGCTGTTGTCATCGTCACCTTTCTTAACAAGAATCTGAAGTGCAGAGGTTTTCATCAAGGGGGGCCCTGTTTGGGGCTCTTACGTCTCTAATGAGTTAACGCGGATCCCCGCTCACTGATGCGAACAGGACACTGGCCGTCAGAGGCCGCCACATCCTGAGCAGCGTCTCAGATAACAAGCCACTTAGGAACAGAGGGGTGGTGCGGCCGTGCCCCTCTTCAGGGACCTGGCATCTGCACCTTGAGCTCTGCCCACAGCAGCCATACTCACTGCCGCAGGACGGCGGCGGGCAGCAAGACAGTGTAGCAAGCACGCCTGCTCGGCTGAGAAGGATGCTCGTGGGTCCGCGGGAAAGGGACTCGCCCTTCGCTGGACCAGACGCCAGCACAGGCCACACGCAGCCCGGTCTGTCCCATCCCAACGAAGCCCACTGCCTCCAGCCCAGCAGCCCTGCAAACCTGAGACCAGCCTGACTCAGGCCCTGGATATTAAATCTGCAGCGAAAGCAGCCAAAGACCTGGACCCGGAACCCAGGCTGGGCCAGTCTGGACGACGCTGCCAGCCTGCAAGGAGGCTGCCCTCTGCGGCCACTCGGCCTGCCCCTAACGCCCCAGCACCCTCAACCCACAGACAGCATCTACATCCTCCTCGCACTGGTGCTGCGGCCACCCCCACCGCACAGCCCCGGGAGGACCCCACAGGAGGCTGTGTCTGCTGTGACTCTTGCTGGGTCATTTGAGTCGGCCTGAGGCAACCTGCGCAGCAGCACAACCCCCCGCCCTGCCAGGAGTCCCCACCGTGGTCGGCTCTGGCTCTGCCCCGGCCCTGGCAGCCCAGCCCCTTCCACTGGGCAAAGCCTCCTCACCCCCAAAATAAGAACAAATAACAGGAAGGCTGAGCGAGAGGCCGAGTGTTGAGTGTGGAAAGTCAAACGGTCTTCATCCTGGTGACCACGGCCGTCACCACCCGCCCCAGCATGCAACGAGGAGAATGGCAGTCACTCGAGGGGGCCCTCACCCCGGCTGTCCCGTGCACCCCACACCCAGCACACGCTGAACCGAGCGTCTGGCAGCCCCTCAGCCCTCCTCTGTCCCCCACGGAGGGAAGTGAGGCCTTGCCTCCCGGCTGAGCCACCCCTGCATTTGGGTTTTGTGCACCTCCTCCCCACTGTCAACTGGAACGTCCAAGGGTGTCAACACTACCCTCATTCCTGTGAAATATTGAAGCACCCTTTCCAACCCTCAATAAGCTTGAGGCATCCCCGTTTGACAATCTGTCTAGACCCCACACCCTGCGGCTACCGCTGTCTCCATATCTTCACAGCCACGTTTCTTAGGGAGCCCAACTTGCCCGCTCTAGCCCTCACTGCCCCCACAGTCAGCCTCCACCACATCCCTCCGTCCAAGCAGCGGCCACGTCATGGCCGCAGGGTGCACAAGGGCCCATTGCTCTCCCGCAGCGACACTCACCCCCACCCTCTCCTCCGTCACCTGTGCAGGCCCTTCCAGCTCTACCTGGCCACCTGGCCACCAGACACCAGAAGCCCTCTCTCTCTGACTCCCCCCTGCCCACAACACCTGCTTCCTGTGTGACTTGGGCTCTTCTCTCCCCTGCTCAGCTGCCAGCTTCTCCAGCCAGAACCCGGGGTGGCCCAGGGCCCCAGATCCTGGCGATGTTATTTTCAGAATCTGACCACTTCTGACCTCTCCAGCTGTTCTGTTTTGTTTTGTTGCGAAATTTGACAAACTCAGCCTAAAATTCATACGGTAATTCAAGGAATATAGAATAGCCAAAACAATTTTGAAAAAGAACAAAGTTGGAAGACTCATACTTCTCCATTTCAAAACTTACTGCAAGGCTGCAGTAACCAAGACAAGGTGGCACTGAAGACAAGGACAGACAGACAGACAAACGGGATAGAATTGAGAGCCAGAAATAATCCCTTACACTTATGGTCCATTGATTTTTGACAATGGTGCTAAGACAATTTAATGGAAAAGAATAATCTTTTCAACAAATGTTCTGGGACAAGTGAATATCTGAATAAAATGAGTATGGACCCCTATCCCACAAAAATTAACCCAAAATGGATCACAGATCTAAATATAAGAACTAAAACTCTAAGAAAACACAGGAGTAAATCTTCCTGACTTTGGGTTAGGCAATGGTTTCTCAG